TAAAACGTAGTTGAAATATCGTTGAAGTTTCGTACTTCAAGTTTACTGTATTTAACTTCGTTTGTACTCACAAAAAAGAATTATTATCTGAGGCTTGGACTGCGGCAACTGCTATATTTGAGAGGTAAACATTCATGTAATCGCATCGTTAATAATAAATGAAAATTATTGAAATCATTATCCAAGCAATACGATCAAATGTAAAAATGGGGCTATTCGATATTTTTGTCAAGTACGAGTGTCGCTCATTCATTGAATGCGAGACGTAATCCGTACGAGTGAAATTTCTGACTCACCTTGATAGGATATTATATTGTCATCATCGAGGATTTTATATTTTAAATTTGTAACGCGATTTCAACGACCAACATTTTTCTCGAATGTAAAAAAAGGTTTATCGATTAGTTTCGCATCATCGCATGATAATTCAAAGTAATATCGCAATTCCACAATTATAAGTACGAAGCGTATTATTATGAATGTGCAGCGTGTCGAGCGAAACAGCTCGAACGAGCAGCGAAAGAAAAAGATCGAAGAAGAAGAAAAAAAGACAAAACGCGAGTTTCGAATGAGACAGGCACAGGCCGGCTTGGTATAGGACGCACGTACAAAAAGCGCGTAATGAAATACGCTCGCGATCATTGCCATACGGAGCTTCGAAAATCAGGACAAGCTGCAATTAGGCACGATTCCCGTAATCGTAAAATTCGAAGTTTAACCGCGAGGCGTAGCGCATTTCTTCTTGCGAGGCTGCATCTCTTTCTCTTTCTTTCTTTCTTTCTTTTGTGCCAGGAGTCTGCGTATAACACGCGCGGAGAGTTCTGCAACTGCGCATACATGCAAGGTATAAAACGCGGATCGTAAATCAAACGCGGCTTTGCTTGTAAACGCAATTTGTGCCACGCGCTCGGATACACGCGTTTGTCGAGCTACCAACACGGCTCCTATACCGACATGGCTCGGGCTCTATTGATATTTTCGGCATACGAGCCCGCGGCTATTGTGAAATTCGAGATTATTAAACGTAAAGCGAACTTGGTATCGATCGCCGTTGATTAGTCCGTTAGGTTTCTTCGATAACGATCAAAAACTTTTAAAATTATAACATGTTTAAATTGAATGTAATTTTCGGCTTATATGAAAATGTTCGCTCACTTACAAAGATGTGCGGTGAAAATTGAAGAGCCCACGTGATCGGTAACGCTAGTCGCAAAGCTCGATGGATCTGAAAAAAATTACATGTAACGTGAAACATCAATTTTTTTCTCAACGTGGTAAACAAATTTCTCCGAGAGTATAGACCGAAGCGTAATGGGGTGCACATGGATCCTGGGTTTTTTCAAACTTGACCGAAAGGATGTGGCGCCTGCAGCGAGCTCCGGAGCCAAAGGCAGAAACACGCGGCGCGTATCGGCCTCGCCGTTTGTCATACAGGATCCGCATAAATAGGATTACGAAGAGCTGCGACGCTGGGCGCATCGCGGGCAGGAGGTAAGAAAGCGTCGGTAGCCGAGCTTGTATGTACCTATATAATGCACGCGTACACACATATATACGAGTCGGTATATAGACGCGCGCGTGCAACGTGTACACGCACAGGCGCGCTCCGCCCCGGTGAGAGAGGGCAAACATGGCCGCTGAGGGACGGATTGGCGGAGTCGAGTCGGTATACACACAGCAGGCGCGTGACGCCCGCGCTTCACTCACTCTTTCTCTCCTTGCCGCGCTGCACTGCACTGCGCTGCCGTGATCGTGTCTCTCTTTCCTTTCGTTGTGCAGCTCCTCTCTCTCTCTCTCTCTCTCTCTTACTCGAGGCTATCGGCTCGACGTCGGCCGTGTCCCTCCTTCCGACGTCACCGCCCACACTTAGACGCGCACACACACGCACGTGTGCGTCTACCTACTTACGCACTTATCCAAGTCAAAACTTACTACCACTCGCACTGATCGTGCACCGCTCACGACTGCACTTGCCGATTTCCAAGCCCGAGTATGGATGCAACGATTTCCCCAACAATTTCGATACGTGATTTTTTTTTCCTACTGTTGATCCAAATGTCTTTTCCATATGGTATGAAATTAATCCGGCACTGTAAACTAAACAAAAAAACTAAACTAATAATTCAGCTCCGTCAATGACTGAATTTAAAAAAACAAAACGTACCTCAAGCATAAAAAATAAATACATTGATTTCGTCGAATCCAGAAACGAAGTGGACACAAAGTAATTGTAAACACAATAAAACCTGGCTAAATTATCATAATTCAGCCTCGTGAGAACACATGCAAATGCGAAAGATTGATAAGATATTTTTCATTGGAGCACGTCAAAGTCGATCGGAGTGCCGGTGCGCTCGTCCAATCTAAAGTTTGCACCGGCAGAGCCACACGTGTACGTATATCAGGGGAAGTACCATTGGCCCGAACGCATCGTTAGGTGTCGCGTGTCACGCACTTATATGTAAAGCAAATATATAAATACAAAGGAATGCATGTGTAGCATCGATCACATTTATGGCTTCATATTTATGTACAATACAATACTGCATCGCGCGCGAGGAGTCGCGAGAAGAGGGAAATAAAGAGAAAGAACGGTCGAGCGAGCGCGATATGCATCGTGTATCGTTCGCGTAAAATATGAACATTGAACATGCTCGGACTGCTTATCTCCTTGCTTCGCTGACTCCAGCGACATTTGAATATAATAACGAATGTCACCTAGCTCGTTTTCGAACCGATATGACGAGAAATCAAAAGCTTCTCCCTTTTCCTCTTTCTCTCGCTCTCGGCAAACTGCCGTCCGAATGCATCGAAATACTGTATGCCTCTCCAATACAATCTTAATAGTGCGCTGAGGCGTTTATACGAAGAACCTGTATTGTAATTTTGGCAATAATTGTAATTGCACTAATATTAATTGCGTTAATGTAGATGATAAACTTTTTCTTAAATCTTTTGCACTTTCATTTGCAATACGTATTATTTAATGAAAAATTGTCGAGTTATACTAAATAATAAAAGAATGGAATACTTAATCCACAAACAAATCTTAAAAGATACAACCTTTGTTATAATTTTATATTTATTTTAAATTAGAATTTTTGAGTAATTGTAAATGTTCAAAAATCTTATTTCATAGTATATGATGTACAAATGTTTTACCACAAAAATTGATTAACTCTTCAACTTTTTTGCTAAAGCTGCATGGAGTCCATTGAAACAAATGGTTACACAGGATTTGAATATTTTGCTGTACAAGTATTTCATCACTTGCATTCAAATAAAAACTATAGTAAATATTGGGAATGTGCACTTAAGAGGAAACTTTTCTTCTTGTCAAAGTTGACTCAATTTTGAAAAAAACTCAATTATCTTTTTGACAAAATTTATTGATAGCAATAATCCTTGATAGTAAAACATTTTCATCATCGGTGAACCATTCCTCTATAATATGTCTAAATGCATACTTTCCATAACATACATTCTCTTGAAATCATATAAATGTATTCCAAGATAATTTTAATCATCATCTATAAAAATGTAAAATCTATGTGTGCTCATGAAAAAAGTATCATTTTGTATGCAATAAATTATCTAATATAGAAATGAAAAAATATCTTCTTTGTCTCTACTCTTTTCTCATTTCTTCTAAGAGTGAATGAGAGTTTTATGTTGATCAGTATTTGGTTTATTTTTTTTTATTTCAACCAATACTACATATAATGCAGTTTGAATTGATTTTATCCATAGTAGTACCAATCATAGCGATTACTTTCTTTCATTTATAACAAGCTTGTATGTCAATAAATATTTATGGTTTCAATAATTTTTTTATAGTTTGATAACTAATGAATAATTAATTGATTTATTCAATCAACTAAGTAATTTTTAAAACTAAATAAATATATTGATAGTTTTAATCAAATAATTAAAAATTCTAAATTGTTTTTTGAACTAAAATGAACACAGCAAAATAAAATAAAAAACTTGTTTATTCAAAAAGAAAACATTCAACTTATTTTTATGTGTTTATATCGAAACAGTAACATTCGATCATGGAGCTTAACTTTGTAAATTATTAGTATTCATCACATAACATAATTACTTTGTAATTAAAAGAATCTTTTCAATATCAAGTATCAACAACTTGTTATCGACATAGAATGTAGTAATTCATATGTATATACAGCAGTACATACATTTTTGACTGAAATAAAGTCATAGTAACGACATCTGTACACAATACAAGATAGCTTTTGTACAAAAAAAAATATTAAAATTTATAAAAAGATGAAAATTGAATTATGGTTCTTCTAAATAGTGTACTATAATTTGAACAATTAATGGATGCATTATCAAAATATTTTTTCATGTAAAATGATTGCAAAAATTTTTGTATTTTATCAATTGATGGTAATTAACTGTTATTATCTGAGAATAAGAAGCATGTGAGAAAAAAATTTCACCTTCATGATAATTACTATTTTTTATACAATAAATTTAAAAATGTATAATAAATTGAAATTGTATAACATGCAACTCATCATTTCTAGGCATAGACATTTCTGATAGAGATGCTTGCATTAAAAAAATTGTTAACTTTTGTTACTAGATGTCGCTAGTAGTCATTTATATACGCTTGCGAATTGCGTTGCATTTTGGCAATGTAGAGAACTCCGTAAATAAAAACTCGACTAAACTATATTGAGAACTACAATAATTGTATAATTTTTGCATTTTAATCTATGACTCTGAGAAATAAAATTTGATGAAAAACGGCGATGTCGTTTGAATATTTTATTTTTCTCAAGTCTTTCCTAAATTACTAAACAATATACAATTAAAATTTTACTAAAAGAAAGAACGAAAGAAAATAACAATTTATATTAGAAATATTACTTGAAAGTATTGAAATTCTTATAAATATTGATTCTCGAAAAACCAAAAGGTACCGAGTAAAATTGAGTTCATTGCAAGTTGATCCACGATAAGCGAAAATAAACAAGATTTTTGACAAGTTTGCAAGCGCAACAGCGCCTCTCATGGCAGGCTCGAATAACTCCATCAGCTGCACTGCGTAAACCAATGATTTACAGACATCGGGTGATCAGATGGTTCATTTGTAAACAACACCAAAACTTTTCCCATGCATGCATGTACTTAGGTTCAACTACGTCGTTGATGTGCACGTACCTGCAGAAGACGGGTAGACGAAAAGAATGGCAGACTTAAAAACGCATGTCAATTTTGCCTGCCAACGATGTCTGCAGCCATTGAGACTAGATCCTAGTTTTTATCAGTTGGGAGAACATACTCTCGCAGAACTTTCGTGTAAGTTTGAACATTTTAATTACATTAAAAAAGTCTATATACAGTATTGGGTTATCGTTTCTACAAAGAACTTTACATAAAACTCATTTTTGAGTAAAAAATAACGTCTGAAAAGAGTGCTATATTATTTACTCTTTTATGTCAAACGTTTTAATCATTAATGACAATTGTATTACCAAAATTGATCAATAGTTGTGTTTTTCTCATAATATGCATTTTCTTTTTCACTTTCTCAGTACCTATTCAGAGTCAAACCTCAGGAGAAATAGAAACCCAAAGCGTTAGCCTAGAGCTGTCAGTACCTCCATTCTCTCTCACAGATTCAGCAAATGGAACAAATGGCTTTATGTTGGTTGGAGATTCAGGAGAAAGAGAAAGTTTGAGCCATCATTTAAGAGTGAGTTAAAAAATGTTATGATGTATATTGTTATTTAATTCAGAGCATTGCAAATATTTGATACAAATAATGAAATAATTAATTAGGTGCGGGCAACTCTTTTTGACGTTTTGAGTGGCAGCAGTTCAGCAGACCATCCACTTTGCAGTGAATGCACTGATAGCCTTTTAATTTTAATCGATCAGCAATTGAAATTAACAGAAAGTGAATGGTCAGATTATAATAAATATCTAAAAAAATTAGAAGATGAACAACAACAACAAGGTAATGAAAATGCAGAAATGGAAGCTCTTGAAAAAGAGCTTCAAGATGTTAAAGCAGAAGAAGAGAGAATGATTCTTGAATTAAAAGCCCTAAGAAAAGAGGAAGAAGCAACAAAATCAGCAATCACAGAGCAAGAAAAGGAAAAAGAAAGGTTACAAAGTGAAGAAGAACGTTACTGGAGAGAGTACAGTAGACACAGAAGAGATTTAATTTTTGCTGAAGATGAATGTCGCAGGTAAAACTCAATATACCCAATTATATAATTAATAAATTGCTTTTCAACATCTTCATTATTGATGAGAATGAAATATTTCATAAGAATTAAAAAAATTTTCATAATTCTTTAAAAATACATTTGTGTTATATTTATAATTTTTTAACTTTTGCAAAATTTATTTAATTTGCAGTTTAGAATGTCAGTTAGCTTATGCAGCCTCTCAGTTGGAAAGATTAAAAAAAACAAATGTATTTAATGCAACCTTTCACATATGGCATTCTGGTCACTTTGGCACAATCAATTCATTTCGACTGGGTAGACTCCCCAGTGCACCAGTTGATTGGAGTGAAATAAATGCAGCATGGGGACAAACTACACTACTATTAACTGCCCTTGCAAGAAAAATGAATCTAACTTTTGAACGATATAAATTAGTGCCATTTGGAAATCATAGTTACATTGAAGCATTGGATCAACACAGAGAACTTCCATTGTATGGCAGTGGAGGTTTTAAATTTCTATGGGATACAAAATTTGATGCAGCAATGGTAGCTTTTCTAGATTGCTTACAACAATTTACAGAAAAAGTTGAACGAGGAGATAGTGGATTTCGTCTTCCTTATAGGATGGATAAAGGAAAAATAGATGATACAGCGACTGGTAGCTCATATTCAATAAAGTAAGATTTTATATATTCTAAAAATTATTACATATTATTTTTAATTTAAAAAACTTTACAATTGAATTTCACTTTTCAGAATCCAGTTTAATTCTGAAGAGCAGTGGACAAAAGCTCTAAAATTTTTGCTTACAAACTTGAAGTGGGGACTGGCATGGGTCAGTTCTCAATTCACAAAAGATGAAGCAGAGCTATAAAAAATCGATCTCAATCTTATGTAGCACAAAAGTGTTATCGTGTGTTTGCCAGCTTGGCTACTTGATGTAAATATTAAGTTAAAGTGTAAATATAATCTAAACTTAAATCTGTTTTAACAATAACGATCTTGTTTGTTAGTCAAAAACCACAACACTGCGTGTACCAAACTTGATGTACTATTAACTCCAATATTAGATATATAATTTTTCGTTTTTTCTAAGTTCATTTCAAAGATTTCGATATGGTTTTCTAATAGTTCTTCTATATAATATTGAATTTATAAGAAGAGATGATTTTATTCAAGTATTACAATTAAATTAAGTTGAGATTATTGAAAAATCAGAAACTAAGCCTTACCTTTCGGAACGAACATATCATTCGTTACTTCAACGTAGAGTAATGTTTGTGTAGCAGGAGCATCCGTTACACACCTGTTAAAAGCAAATTTAATATTTAATATATGAAATTGTGATATCTAGTAATATAATAAATTAAATTGAAAAGTAGCTTCAACCTGTAACTTTGTACTATTTCGAAGTTTTTGATAGGAGCGTCATATCCAGCATCTCTCTTAAGCTCAGTTCGAGCCATTTCCAATAAAGGTTCATTTGGTAATAACAAATCGCCACATAGTTCAATAGTAATTCCTAATGTAGGTGGATATTTATTGGTATTAACTCGCCCTAACATTTTAGGTATAAATGCATAATAAGTCAGCGGACAAAACTGACGAAGAAATACGAGTGTGTGGCGATCAGTATTGAAGACAATAGTGGCAAAGCTATCTTTTCCATCAACGAATTCCCAGTTTTTCTGCACTCCAAATTGTTCATAAGTTAGACGAAAAATGGGTATGCTCGGCGGGTCGTCCCTATTTTTATCCGTTGTTTCATCGGGTGAACAGACAGTTATATCTCGTACGCCCAGCATCAAAGAAACCATCCGATGATTTCTTTTTTCCCTATCTTCTAAGCAAACTGTAGGGTAATCCATCTGATCACTGACTCGATAATCGACACAAATTTGTTATTATCTCGCACTGAATTTAACAATTGAAAATTATTTTACTTTCTATGAATGTAGTAAATGCAAGCATTTCAAATATTTATAAATAAGGACGAAATTTAGATTAATTAAATCTTTTTTCTCAAATTGTTGGTTTGTTTTGAAGCACTCACATGTGATAATCAATGTTGACTATAATGGGAACGGTTGCCTCGCATAAATTTTAAAAACAATGACAACTTCTGATTGTTTTAAGATGATAGAAAAATTATTCTTCATAAAATAAAAACAATTCATGACACAAAGCTTCTAAGTTGTACGGTTATAACATACAGATTAGGGCAAGTACTGAGTAAAAACAATCTATTTATTTACCGTTCATTCACAGAAATTCATTATTTTGATTATTGAAATAGAAATCTATACTCAAGTATCATTTACGATTTATAAACTGGTCAAAAGTAAATAAGGCCTATTTTGAGTATTGAATTGTTCAAATTTGATGATAATTTACCCAATATAATTGTAGTAACATAATTAATTTATACAATGAATTTTTAATTATACTTTTTTAACGTTAAAAAAAATTTTATAGCAATTTTCGAGGGCAAGCATTTTTTGGTAAAAATGAACAATTTTTTAAATTTCATTCATTAATTGTCTGTACGAATAAAGTATTTTTATAACAATACTCTTCTTTGAATACATTTCAAATTGGTGCACTTTCAATTATAGGCTTATTTACATATTTTATTCGCGAATCTTTCTATTTCTTTTTATTTTTTCCATTTTGTTTGCCATTTTTGTCTCCTTTTTTGCCATCCGAAGGTCTTTTACATGCGTCGAGAATTTCTTGTTGCTGAACTTGTGTATCCACATGCACAACGTTTGGTTTCTTTTTCAAACGGTTCACTGCAGCTGGGGGTGAAAATTCTATTTCCATGTCAGATGCAGTAGAGCTCGAAGCTATGGAAGTTTTACTCTTTACTATCTTGAATTGTAAAGGATTTATTGGTTCATCTAGTTTATCTGTATCATTTTCGTTTCTGATAGGGTACATGGTGACATAATACACTCCATCTTTTCTGTGAATGTGAAGGGTTGGTGGGAATTCAACTTCTTCTTCATTTTCGTCTTCCTGAGCTCCTTTCATCATTGCGAAACTGCTTATGGTCTTTTGAGGTTTTCCTTTCGCTCCTTTAGAATTAGTTGGAGCTGAAACAGGTCTTGATTTTTGTTTGAAGAAGCCATCTCTTGCTTCTTTTAAAAGATCTCTCATTTGCACACTAATAGCTCCAGGTTTCCAACCAGTTCTAGGTTTCAAGTGTCCAATAGTATCAGTTTTATTCCACATCCATCCCATACGTGCTGGAACTAAAGGCCTCACGGAATTACAATCTTTATGTCCGTATACAGATTTAGGGTAAGAATTTCCATAAGAATAAACGAATTGTTTGGGATTTTTGGATTTCTGACTTTTTTCACCAGCCTGTTGAGGTGGCGCTCTACCTCTATTTGTTTTATGAGATGGATTTTTATCCTGATTATCGGTTTTCTCATTGGTATGCGATGTGCCTTCCTCTGTTGTATTTTTTTTTGGTTTCGATTTGCACGTGGGATCACCGCATGGCGCATCTTCATTGGCAGGAGCAGGAGGTGGCAGGTTTTCTACATCTTTTTGCTTTTCTACTTTTTCACTTTTTTTTTGTTTTGATTGAGCGATGCTTTGGGAATCTGGAAAAGTTGCATTACCTTCTTGAACTAGAGATTTATTGTTACTAGGAAACGGTGTACTTTGATTTGATTTTCTTGGATTATCTGCATTTCGATTAGTGGAAGCGATTTCCGGTGCTTTGTTTGGCGTTGGTTTAAATTCCGACTTGATAGTTTTAGTTTCTTTTGCTTGGCCAAAGTAAGGACTTTCGATTATACCTAAACCTGCCAGTCCCGGAACTTTACCAATACTATTAACGAAGTCTTGGGCATCATTGAAAGCTTTTATTAGACAATTGGTGCCCATGCATGGTTTCTTCGAACATACGGAATTGCCTTTTTTTCTCAGCATAGCATCCAAAGGCTGTTGATTGTCAGGGCAATTAAATTGGACATTATTTTTTTCGACGTTTTTCATGTTACATTTATTTTGAGCCAAGTAGGCTGGCCCAACAGAAGTGTTCCATTGCTTAAAATCATCACCAAATTCGATTATATTGTTCACTTGACTTGCCTGAAACGTGTATAAGGGAGAGATTGTAGAGCACATTTGAAAGGGTATAAAATCGGTAGTGATGCCTACTTACCCCACTGCGGCCACCGCAACATCCAGCATCAGAATAAATTTCTCCGCAGCCTCCAGCCATCAATCGTCGAGAATCAGGGGTCTTGGTAAAACCTTCGAGAAACTGTGCACCACAACCACCTCCACGCATTCTTCGGGCATCGATGATTGTTGATTGTGAATTTTTACCCTGACGCTTTTTCACTTGATCAGTTAAGTTCGAACTGGTAAGCTTCGTGGATTCGTGATTATCCGGTGTAATCATGATGCTTATTGCTTTGAGCTAACCTTGAATTTTTTTTAGGGATTCCGGCAATTACGTATTACTTTCAAATAAATTTTATTTCGAAAATATCGTTCGCGTTACTGAGAATTTTGAAATTTTTTAATTTTCTAAGCAGAGCTCAACGAAATCAATTCATCTTGAAAATATATTTCTGACAAGTGAACCGATCCACGAAAGATTTTTTATTTTTGAAAACTGAAAACTATCACGATACAGTCAGTGTATATTAGTTGCCATGGTGATTCGATTTTAAGTCAGAGTATAATTGCTCTAATAAATTTGAATTTCGGACCGTCAATTTCGATTAATACTGTTTTAACTCTTCTGAAATAATAACACGAAATATTTATCAACTTTATTGCTATTCCTTTGTATCTGTTTTTATTTTTGGAGTGATAAAAAGATTGCAGTGTTTACAATAATAAAAACTGCATTAAACTGAAATGTAAAGTAACGAAGTTTGTTTGAAAATATAGTTTTAAATTATTTGAATTTTATTTATATTTTTTTATCATATAGAGCAGTGACATCGTAATCCGTAAGGAGTTGTAAGGAACGTTCCGATCTTAAATTAATTATAATTTTTAAGAATGTAATTAATTTTATAATCTTTCTCGTATTGTATAAATGACACGAACCTTTAATTATTATAATAGCTAGTTTTAAATATAATTTTGAAGTAATATTTTTGCAGTTTAAATTCAGAACAGTGAATCATTTATTCTTTCTCCGTCTTAATGTCTCTGTTAGGTTTATCTATTTTCTCCGTCTTAACATCTCCGTTAGGTTTATCTATATTCATCGCACCTAGGGCCACTCCTTCTTCGATATGAAATACTCTCCTGTCTTCGTTTTCTTCTTCTTTGACACTTGTGACAATTAATTCGGGTCCTTTTTTGTACTTATAAAGACAATCATTTTCTCTTAGCTCATAATTTGTTATAACGTATTGCCCAAGTAAAGAAAGTCTTAAATGCAATTTGATCGATCCTATGAAAGAAACAATAAGCATAAAGTGAAACGATTTTCCTCACTGAACAGACGAAATTAAAATCATATACACACCCAAGTAATTTTCTCCTACATCCACGATATCGTAAAGACCATTGATTTCAAAGGGTTTAGGCTTGTGGGCATCATCATTATCAACCATTGTCATTTGATCGCAAAAACACCCTTTCATTGGTATATCGACTTGGGCAACGTGGAAAAGTTCGCATTTTTTGAAAATCCTCACCATCAAATTGCAAGCTTTCATATCGGCCACAATATCTCGAGGCTTTCGGGCAAATAAACATGATAACCCAGCACCGTAATATATACCATCGACTTCGTTGTAATCTTCCATATTGCATAAAGCATGTTCAGATGGCTGTGTTACTATGAATTTTGGGAGTTTCAGGCATGATAGATGTATGTCTGGCGCTACTCCACCAAACAAACATTCGAATTCGTGTTTTGTAGGTCTCAGACGTTGAACTGTTATTTCAAGTTGATAAATTTGCTCTTCGCGTCCACCGAAGCAAGTCATAATGATAAATATATAATATTGTAAAAAAAATTACGTAACGGATGAATTAACCAAAAATTTATGTAAACACAACAAACGGAGAATCACACTAGCAGACGAGTAACTAATTGATGATCAAACCAACTTCAGACTCGATACACATGCAGTATTTTTTTAGGTAAAGGCGAAATTTGATTTTTATAAAATAGAAAAAAATTAAAAATGATGAACTTACTGTTGAATAAATGGGATAGGGGATTTTATCAGCATTTTTAAAAGGGAGGGACAGGGGTAAGAGTATTAAGAAAATTGTTGCATTTACTAAATACGCTAGTTTACTAATAAATACGGAAAATTGATGGATCTTTATTGGTTGCATTTTTAATGTCGTGAACATTCTCACACATGTTGCCGACTGACTCGCGCAAATAAAGTGCATCAAGTGTTCCGTAGAAATATTCAATAGATAGAGCGAAATAATGGCTTGCCGATAGATTGAGATAAGGCGTGTGCTCGAGGGTAAAAGATGTGTCATGTCCAGTGCTGCCGTAGATGTTCTCTCTTGCCTACATACGTGCATATACATAGAGCAGGTATACGTCGAGACGATCGATCACCGACTGCTGCTCTTCATACTGACGGTGTTGAAGTGCTTCTAAACGCAAGAAAAGCATCAGCAGCAGCCCCGTACATTTTCGCAGGAGATCCTATCGATATTTATGTAGTGCGCGCTCGCATTGGGCTACATAAATGAGCTCAACGATGTACCCATAAAAAGTCGCTGCCTTTCCGCGTCGCAGTTTACTTTATCGCCTGCACACTATGTTGACTGACATACACCCAAGTATCGAGTAAGTACGTCATTATGAAAAAGCATCGTTTTGTTTTGCAAATTTTCGCCTCTATTTTTTACTTCAAGCTCTCTCTTTTCATAGTAGTAAAGCGATGTACTGTTTTTATTGATTATTTTTCGATTTTGAGGTTTAGACTCGACCGATCTGGCGCCCCTATACGTATTTCAACTTCATTTTTCGTTCAAACTCGTTACTTTTTTAACTTGATTGACTCTTCTGACAAGTACATTACGTAGCCGGTCGTAAAAGCGCACCTTATTGAGAGCTGAAAAGATTAATTATTAACCGAGTTAAGTGTATTTTTATCTGCGTGGCCGGACTTTTTCGTCAAAATGTTTGTGGACCAAATAAACGAGCAGCAACGCGCAGTGCGTATTTCAAAGGGGTTGCATCAGTGCTCTCGAGTTCGATTAATCTCGACCTGTCATCTTTATTACGCGTTACGCAAAACAATGGTATAAGGTATCTTACAACGCCCGCGTAGTGTAATTTTCCATTTACATGGCAAGCGCGTGGCCCGTTGCAGGCCATGGGTGCACTTTGGCTCATAATCCATCTTTATCGCTGGACTAAATCTAAGTGACACGGGCTACACGTCGGGACTGATCAATTGTTATGGCTACCCGTTTGTATATATATGCGCACAGACGTATACGAGGCTGTGCCGTAAAGGAGAAGATTCCGCATCTCGCAAATAACAGTAAAGTGAGCCGTCCGATTAATACAAGAAATTAGGTATACTCGAAAATAAAAATAAGAGCAATAACTGTGTGCCCAAACGATATCTTTGAGGAGCATCATTCTTTTTTCGTGCAGAATTATCTTTACTTGTACCTTCTCCGTGTGTATACGTGCGCTGGCGCGCCGTGCACACACACACACACACACACTCACATGCAAAATCGTATCGTCCTTTTTCTCTCCTTTATTTCTTTCGCTATGAGTACCGTTACGAATAAATATTGCACACGCAAACACCGTAAAGTCTTTGCGTAAAGTAGCGGCTACGGCAGCGCCGGCAATTCGTCTGTCCGTGCAATCAGAGAGTTGCGACGGTGGGTGTTAATTTCGACTACGTATCGTCTGTGTTAAGCAGCTTCGCAGGGTCGGATTCCAAAATTGCACGTGTCCAAATATATGCTATAGACTAGTACAGAGTAGCTATTCGGTACCACTATAACGTGAGAAAATCCCAGAAACTGTTTGAGTTTAAAAAAATTATCTCATTTTGAAATGGAATTTTCCTTATTATGTATCTATTTTTTAACTATTTTTTAAAACTGTTTTTAAACCTTAGATTGTTGTGATCGCGGGTTTAGCTTCGATATAAATTATCTAAGCAAGTAAGAATAATTTTTAACTGCGACAAAGGTCGAGAAGACTCATTTGCTGACGCGCGCACTAAATTCTCCGCGGGTGGGTCCACCTCCTACTCCTTCTTTCCTGCCCGAACTTCTCTTCTCTCGGCGAGCAAAGAGTAACACCGTACCCACAAAGTATGCACTAATTGGTGCAGTCTCGCTTATGCGCGAGGAGCGCATGCACAAAAGCGCATGCAATATAATATACGACAACAAAGTCGCGAAAAGGAAAAAAGGATATAGGGCCCCGAGAGCGAGAAAGAAGGACAGGCATGTTGGATGAACAGTCCGAAATGTGGCTGCCCGTACACACACATACATACATGTATAGCTGTATGGAGAGCGAGAGATAGAATTGAAGACGCAGCTCGGGCTCGGCTGTATAGAGCAAGACGATATAAGCAAAGAAGCGAGCTCCGCGAGAGGAGCAACGTAAGTAGTAGGCCGAGGAAGGGAATCCGAAATGAAATTCCGAGTTTCGCGACACGGCGGCTCGTTAAAATGCTTCTTCTGAGCGGCGCGCAAGGGACTTTCGGCATTGGGTTTGGCATACGAGAGGCCTCGTACGAGTTTGAGAGTGAGAGAGAGAGAAAGAGAAACGAAGACAGACAGAGCGAGCGGTTAATTGGTGATTAGCGATTAAAACGAAACGATCTCTATACATCGGCTGCGAGAAACAGACGCAGAAGAGACGTAGTGTTTCGCAAAGTGCCCTCGAGCTTGCTTCTATACGTACACGTATAAACTTGGCCCTCTTACGTACATTTATAAAGGTGTATAAGAAACAAGAGAAACAAAGACACCTACCGTTTGTGGGACTTTGAACGCATTAAGTATCATCGTCTAGAAACGCGCCGAAAACCAACGAGAAAGGCCGTTACTTAAGGCATAGTTTTTTCATTTCTCATTCTCGAAATGCTGCAACTGCCGATTCATTGGTATACAGGGCCAGGAAAAGGTTTCGAGTGACGGAGAAAAAAAACGAGGTGTTCGCCTAATTTACGTCTACACATCCTTTTCGTAGAGCTCAGTAGTTTGTCTGGTTTTTAGGGCTTAATTAGAATAATGCACGTGCGTTTCGTTCGAGAGGGACTGTTTAGAATTGGCACTTGTAAAAGGGATCGGAGTTTGTATTGAACAGTTCGAATGATTTTTAATATTTGATTATTTTAGTACTTGGTAAACAGAGTAAAAAAGCACAGCACTTTAATACAAACTTGACTTTTTCAGATCATAGAATGTTTGTAGTTTGTATTTTTTTGAGTCGTTTTAAAGTTTTACGCATTTTTATTAGAACAAAATGATTAAAAAATCCCATCGCGTTCTGATTATCCCAATGAATATTCATGCCCATTTTCTCGTACGCCTATGACAACTGACAACTGACAAGTGTCATGCGCACATTGCGGAAACCGTTGCTCACGTCATTGTAATTACAACCGAACTTCTGCATAAATATCGAAGCACGTCACATACGTGTATCAGTTCTTCGTTTTTCTTTCGAAACATCTGCAATGTACATTAATATCTAATCAATATTCATAAAAATTGATTGGATGCATGGACTGATTTGCTTGTGAACATCGCGATTTAGAGTATAAAACGTGGCATCATTGTACAGTTAGTTTGCTAGGCAGATAGTAATTAAACATATAATAGAAACTGATTTTTTGACACGCTTATGGCAGAAGTTTATCACATATTTTTTTAATTATATTAAATACGCATATTATGCTCTTCCGTTACATGAAAAAGTCTACTTTTTTATTTAATTGAACGTTTTTTTAAATTTTATGCTGACATTTTTGCATAAAAAATCTCTTTAGTTCGTCGTCAAACTCTTTTTTCATATTTTAAAAGAATATGATGACAGGATTAATTTATAATTTCGTAGAGTAAGAATGTCATGAAAAACATTTTTTCTTTCAATGAAAATTTTAGCCTAAAGAAATCAGATTTTTAATCCATGCACTTAGGAAGTACGAGACACTCTATGTACACCTGCAATAGAAACTTTAAGCCAGATGCGGTACGGTAAAAAGAACGATTTTTGCTTGTTTCTTGTCGTTGGAAAAAATACCGCTAGTGGCCTATGACCTCATACTCTGTGTTATTTTTTTTTCGTCTATCTTGAGAATCACAAGATCATCGGTGGTGTCTCGGTTATCCGTCTTTATCGAGACATCTCACTGGAATGCACTCCCTTTTTTGTGGTCTAGCTGCGAGTTGAGACAAGGCGAAAAGCCATGACGTCTGATACAGACGTTTACCGATGGCTTTCTCGAGAGATGCCGTTGCTTTGCGCATCGGAATCAGCGGGGACTATTGTCCGCGCGCTTTCAGTTTCGATGATAATGCATCCAGACGTGTATTACGTATACGCAAGTCGGGCGTATGTGTGTGTGTGTGTGTAAGCTCAAGCCTCGAGAACGGTAAAATTGCAAACGCTCGCGCGATCATTCTATTTGTTACTAGCCGTCCCTCGATAAATAATTCATCTAGCGTCAAGTGGATTATCCCTGATATTTAAATAACGCGGGAAAACTTCACGCACAAAGCTCATTTTACAATGAATGAAAAAAGTTTGCCATTGAATTTTCTTTTATCCTGGTATTGTATGATCATCATCGGCGAAAAGTAGAATATTTTATTTAATTTTTCAGCATAGTATTTATCGTAAACGGTATCGGTGTCATAAAACAATTTGTAGGTAACGGCGCTTGGAATTATTGAGCTGTATACTTACAATATCGTACTAGTAGGTGATGTGTGTATACCAACTTCTCATAATTTCTAGGTAATTTTCTTTGCATTTAGAGGAATTTAAAAAAAAGACATCTGGTTACGGACAATTTTCCATCAAGTGTTTCCCACATAATCACCGATTAAATTTGCTCGTTTCAGCCCTGGCAAAAATTTGATGGTAATAATTTTAGAGGACGGCGATTATCGTCTGAGTCATCGCATGAGCTGTAAATGTCAGTAGCACGAAAACGTGTAAGCACGTTTAAGTTGAAAAAATGGCAAATAGAAAAATGGCTTGATGCGCATCTCAACCATAATTAACCTTATCGAGCTAGGCCGGAAAGCGCCCTGAACCGCCTCCTATTTGTTCGTCATATAGAGAGCGAGCAGAGCAAGCCCCGTAGTCTCGAGGCAGACAAGAGCAACAGTTCCGATCTCTTCATAGCAATTATAAAAGAAAAATCAAGTACAGGATCGAATCGTGCCTCAGCTTCCGCGCGGATCTAGATCATCGACCGCATGCTGTGGACGACCAAAAGACTGCAGCTCCGAATGAATCATCATCATCATCATCATCATTGGCGCTCGCACGTGTACGTCAATCCCACGAGCTACGGAGCTTTCTTTTAACTATCAGCCATAAATCGCCCCACAGGCTATTTCCATTCGCGAGTCTATGCCTAGAAGCAGCAACGGCAGCATCATAGCTGCAGCAGATGTAGCTGCATCCTCAGAGGCCAGAGGTTACATGCCTCGCGGGAAAATCAACAGGCCTTACGGTCGTTCGTCATCTTTCTGAACGCGTGACGGGTTGCGCAATAAATAATACTCGCTCTCATGAGGTGCACCACGATGGTCGCATGCCCATATACACTCGGACAAACGTATTGCGAAGCTTGCATTTTTCGCCTCGCGCTCCCTATGGCCTTTAACAGTTTTCTATCTGCTGAACGCGTGATTTTTTTTTCGTGACAACAACAGCGGCATTAGCAACAACGGCAGCAATGCGTCGTGCGCGTGCATTAGCATGAACATAGCCCTGTGACCTGTCGCCGTCTACTGCTGGCACATAATGCGGAAGTGAATATGCAAACAGAAGAGAAAAAATGAACGAGCGGCTTCGACCTGCTTAGCACGATGATATTCTTTTAGATATGGATAATAAGCGAGGCGTTCTTGACATTGGATGAAAAAAAGGGAAAAAGTGTGGATGCTTTGTTTCTATTTTGAATTGTATTTCCACGTTGGCAATTCTGCAACTCACGTTGTGGTAGCTTAATTATTATTAATAAACTATTAATACTAAACTCAAAATATGGGTAAAATAGACATGTAATATTTCTTATACTGTAATTTGAAAGTTTCTTTTTGATTTCAACTTTTAATTTAACTTTTTTTTTCTCCAAGCAAACAGAGCGAATTAGGGGCTTTGCCAATGCTAGCCTGTATAATATTGTTATTATTGACGCGTATTTTATATAAACAGGCGTCCCTCATTAAGCTGTTTTTAGGTTTTCTGTTTGGAAGTGAACCGTTTTACATTTAGTGTACTTATAAATACATAGGTAGGTATTATGTGCGTCAAGTTCTAATAATCTGTGCGCTAACTTTCGAACTTTAACCACGGTTTCCTGAACTTTCTCCTTATCAAACTTTCTATGCGTTCAAATTAATAAAAACTTTGAAAAATTCAACGAAGCTCTTGTGCATGAAAGATAATTTACTCAAAATTATCAAATTTCAGAAAATTATTTTAAATAAATCTGATCTTTTTAAAATTTAAACTCACCTAAGATTGAAAGTAGGTGCAGACAACCTGAAAAAAAATAACCGAATAATTGATTTTGATTGAATATAATAAAAAATATAAAAAAAGTAACAAAGATGCATGATCTCAAAAAGTTACAATATAAAATGAAAAATTAATGATGATTATATATTTCGTATCCAGTCATTAACGGCGTGTCCGTAATTTTGTCGCTCGATCGTGTCACAAAATGCTGAAAAATACAATATTAATTCCAACACCAGAGACGCAGCGTGCCAAACTTATGGAAAAAAGAATCCTTAAAGCAAGCCTGAATTATACGAACCCGCTCATTTGGCATAAAAACAAACATTACCAGGGAGCGAGGTATGAATTTTGGCGCGCTCGCGCAGGCCCCGGTATTTAGGTAAGAAACGATTTCCTGGAGACACGCATATTATACAGATATGTCGATGCGTGTAATCGCAATGAGCAAAAACGCGTGAAAATTGCACTCGATATGTATGTAATAATAATAAGCGATCATACATGTACGGGCGAGCCAGGCATAGCATTAATTACCGTTGTGCATACATCGCATCTTCGTGTGAATCGGGGGGCGATCATTAAAAATTATTCCATCTTCCGTGGCCCGGTCGCAAAAATCGAGCAAAAAAGAAGCGAAAAGTCGAAATTACATACGCGGATGAACGCGAAAGAGGATCGATTAACCCCCTTTTTTTCTTACTCTCGATATAGTTGTTAACAAAATATCGCGAAAATATCGCCCAGAAGTTGCCATTGGCTACACTTATACAGGTACATATGTAAACATCTACCGGAAATCCCTTTCACTCGAAGAGTGTATATTATGTATACACCTGCAGCACCTTTCCATACATTTAGACATATAGAGGACCGTATCGAGATAATTCTGGTGTTTGTATCTCGATACGTTACTTTCTAGAGGAAATGTTTTAATTAACTTCACCTTTAAGTTGTTTCAATTCAAATTAAATAAATGTAAATTAAATTCAATGTTTAGTCATGTTTAGCTTAAAAAAATGCAGAGATGCTAAAATTTTGAAAAATTTTTAGCTTGAAAAATATAAAACCATAATATCTAAAATATAGCTGCTAGTTTGAAGCTAGAACCGACTCGTTGTTTTATTCTCCCGATGGATGGAGCGCTAGAAGAATTATCAAGTCACGGAAGATCAGTAGCTTGCATAATCAAGTTTTTCCTGTGCTAAAGATTTTGTTTTCTACATGCAGTAGATTCCAGATTCTACGCTTCAAAGGTAGCTCAGCCATAACGTTAAAATTGTTGGTTACGGCTTCTCCAGCCGAGACGACATGCAGCTACCTTGAGTACTCACACTTTTGATATTGTAGAATAGATGTACCTCAAAAAGTGCATAAAAAAATCATAATATACAGCTATTTTATGAGTAGCACGTGCAAAAAGTTTTCTCTAAACGAATTTAAATTTAAGGGTATAAATTCATTAGATTGCAAGAGACTTTTTTGATAAGATAACATCAATAATTCAAATCAGGTAAATTAATTAATTGATTATGTAAAAGTAATTGATTAATAAAACATTCAATGATTGCTTTTGACATTGAAATAGTCTTAAATTTCAAGTTAAATTTTTTTTTATTCATGGTCTAAATTTAAAAAAGATATACCTTTATTTAAATTTTGGATGAATTATTGTTTATGAATAAATATATAATTCATCAAAAAAAATAATTTCATATATTTCGTATGAAATTTTAATTTATGAACGTAGAATTTCCAAAAATAAAAAGATTTTTTATTGAATTTAATAAAAATTATTTGAATTTCTTTATAAAAGAAAATAACAGAGCTCTTGCAAGTTTTTTCTTTGGAAAATTTTTTTATTAGAATTTGAAGAACACGATGTTGTAAAATTCGCACGCTCTCCATGTAAAAATAATTTCCGTTTGAATAGTCACGATGTTATTAATTTAAATACAAGTGAATATTGCTTTTCATTTGTAGTTAGTTGCGTATTATTGTTGAAAAAAACGTTTCTTCGGGCGTTTCAATTACGAAAATGTTCACCAAAATTTTATTTTTGGTCGTTTTAGGATGTGCCGTTGTTTTGGTATTATCTACTATTATCTTCTCTTCTCAATATATCCGGTTTCTGTGTACCAATGTCCTTTCTTTTAATCCGTAGAAAAAATATTTTTCATCGGTGCAGCGAAAAAAATTTCTTTTTTTCAAAATTGCGTCAAAAAATGCTTCGTTAATTTCAAAGATAATTTCTTTGAAGAAATTTTAAAAAAGCTATTTTATGCCGCATATTGAGATAAACGATTTTTTTCAATGCAATTTTTGATCGTAAATTTTTTTTGTAAAACACCGGTGATATAATTTAATAAAACTAATTTTTCTAAATTTTTTTATTTAAAGGCTCGTCCAGATCCCAAATTAGATCTTGATGAATCTGAGGTAAGTTTTATAATAACAATTTTCTTAGTTTATAAAAATCCTTAAATTGAGTAAAAGTTGAATTTCATTTTCTTTACTATTTGCTTAGGTTCAGCAAGCTCCAAGTTTGCGTGAAAGAATCAGCCATTGGTGGACTAGTGTTAAAACTAAAGCTAAAAATGCCATTGAAAAAGTCAAAACTGGAACCGTTAAATTATATGACAGATTAAGCGGTAGAGAAGCCTCTCGAGCACAAGCACTTATAGCTCATCTTCAAGATAATTTGAAGAAATTAGATGAGAGTTACAGGCAAAAATTGGAAGCAAAGGCTGAAGAAATTGACGCGATAAGGGAGTCTCTAAGGAGAGAAAAGGACGACCAAATTTCTAGTTTGAAAAATGATCATTTGCGGGAATTAACTCTTAAACAAAGTGAACTAGACACCATTCGAAGAGAAGGGCAAAGACGAATTGAAGAAGTTAAGAAAGACTACGAAGGAATGTACCACGAATTAACCCAAATTGTAAAAGCCCGTCACGAAAAGATTTCAAAGAAAAAGTACTTTAAAAAGTAAAATGTAATACTTTTAAAATAAGGAGATATTCATATCAACAATAATAAAAATAATTTAATGATTGAATTTTCATCAACTTAACATTATAGGAATAGTCCTTGCAATATCAGAAGAATTAGTAAATTAATCAAATGATAAAAATCGTGCTATTCAAGAAATAATTTTTGATGAAAATAATGGTGTTTACACGTTTACTGCAAATGAGTTGACAGATGCTGATATTTTTTTGAATCTTAACGAATAGTTTCATTTTGATTTTTTACAATAGTCTAAAGAAGAATCATGAGAATACTTTCAAATTCGAGATTTTATATCAGTTAGAAGGTGCAGCAGCAACATTTTATACTCCGTCTGTCTTTCTCTCTTTCTTGCGCGCGAGCTCTCAACTATACTGCAGGCAAATGCTACAGTCACTGAATAAAAAGGACCATCTATGCGCTTCTGAGCGCAAAGATGCGCCCATGAGAAATCGTTTAATTGGGTAGTCCCGCTCTCGATATAATGGCTTCGTTTCTTTGAACATTTTAGGCTTCTTTTGTGTTGCACGGATACTGATAGGCTACGGCATTGCCGGTACTGCTTTTTTGCACTCGACTTTCTTTTTTTTCAGCCACAGATCGTTTCGGTTGCGAGGAAAGTTTCTTTGCCACGCGAGTTGTCATTTATTATTACGAGAAAGTATCGCGAAGAATTGCAATTATGCAAGTTTAAATTCGCTCGTTATTTTGATATCAAATTTTTTACCCCTCACAATTAGTAGCTGAGAAAAGAACTTGGAGGATACTATTTTTAAGCGCGAATCGATGCGGCGTTGGCTCAATGTGCACACGGCTCGGATATAAGTCATGAGCGAATTGAAAAAATATGTACGAGAAATCTTAACGTCATAGTCATAATTTTGTAGACTAGCATCAGTTTTGAAGTTAACATACTTTTGCGAAAGTTTCGAGTATTCCCAGCGTACTCGTAAAGAAATTTCGCAACGTATGTAGGACAATTATTACTACTTAGTCTTTTGTGTTCATAGTTACGTGTTGCAAGCAAAGTACGTGCATTCTTGCGCGTATTAAATTATTAAATTTAATTAAATAGCTCTCGCATAGCTGCGTATTTCTCGTGCCTCGGAATAACTATTTAGAATAATTTTTATGCGCTAGAAAAATACGGTAATTCGCGCTAAAATAGTAAGAGGCGAATCCGCGAAGAACGAGCTGAGCGTAATTTTCAATCGAGCGGCGTTTTAGCGCGGTGTCTGGACAACCTAGAGAAAAGTGAGCTCGCCCGCGTCTGCGAGCTAGGAAAATATGTAAAAATCGAGCCCTCTACACCATCGGCCGTTGCGCAGTGCGTCTTACACATGTTACGTGTAATCTGCTACGCTGTCGAAGCTCGCGCGCTCGCATACCTGCTGTATATGCGCTCGAGCATACGCGCGCATATAAAGTTATAATTAAAGTGCGTTCGCTGCACCGAAGACGTCCTGCGGAGCGTTGGCCGAAATTAGTATATAGGGGCAGCAGTGCGGTATCAAACTATTTCGCGTGCTATTTTACAAACAGTCCCAATTTGTTCGTCGTTTCTCCTTGGGCACCTCGCTCAGTGAGCCACTTGACAGGCTCAACGTCGGTTGATTTGCTGCGAGCGCCCACCCGAGGTGAGCTCGCAAATTTATACGTCACCCGGTATGTTGCTGCCGCACGCATAAGTCGATCGCGTGCCCGGCCGTTATACATGAAAAATTATTATCGTGACTTTGTGCGATGGAGGAACGATTGTTAACGACTGGTCGAGTCGGGTCTGCCGATGTACAGTCCATTGGCCGTATATAAGTATATAGTCATTAAAAATTGCAACTATAACCGCATTGTTTGTATCAATTCAAGATCATTGGGTGATATTATTTCAAGTATTATTGCACTAAAATTGATTCATTAAATCGCAGTCGATTATTAATTGATCGGTAAGCAAATCACCGATTTTTTCTACTATCCATATCATTGCGATCGATCAGAAGCACCTCGGTACGCGAGATTTTCAATTGGAAGATTAATTGTTCGTATCGCTTGCTCGTATCCCAACCCGATCGATTAATATAAGTCAAAGTAGAAGATAATCGGATTTATTTGAAGCTGGCAGAGACGCAACGAAAAATCGAGGACTGCACAGTTTATCAAACAAATCCCAGTGGCGTTTGTTCGGTCGTTACAACAAACATTTCTGCGGAACGAGCCTCTTCTTTTCCTTTTTTATCTCGTTGCTGCTCTCTCGCTTCCTCCGAGCAATCGTCGTAAAATTGAGACGTTTCATATAACCCAATAACTGCTGGGGAAGCCTTTTTCTTTTCTCCGTTCTTCTGTCGATAGTCTTGCAGCTATGCTTTTATTATGTGTCCGTGATAGCATCTTTGAAAGCCCATAACAATGCCACAATCCGATAAAAAGAGATGTGTGTAATGTAAATGTATATATATTGGTATATACACAAGTGTAATGGTAGCAAGAGTATATGAAGCGGAGCCTCGGCCCTGCGCGCATACATGCTCCCAGAGGGAAGTCGAGAGATATATTCGCAAACCTCCTGGCCGCGCTTACGTACAAACGTATGTGTATACGCGAACAGTCCTAGCGTGCATTTAACGAGGTAATAATGCTACTCTTCTCATTTCGAGTTCCCAATCGTTTCACGGAAGCCACCACGTTTGCACGTGTGTATCGAAAACCGTGAATAATAAAACTCACCATCCCTGCTGCCTGCGCGGTATACCTTCGGCTCTCGCTTCAGCTTCGGCAAAATGAATGCGCGCGCGATTACATTATATCTCGACGAGCAGAGATATGATAGGCGAGGAAATGCGAAGGGCGTGTTCGCAAACAGCAGATTGCTTCGGCTGAGATTTACGCTTCTCTAGCGAGTTTTCTTCGATGCCGCTGCACAGCTGCTTTGAGCCAGCGTGACCTAGCCGATGATTTTCCCTTTGCCACGGAAGGACGCGTGCACATTATTCAGGGGCCTTTTCGCTCGATCGCTATTTCGTCAGATGCGCATCTCTTGAAATTATAATATTTTAGTCCATAGACAATGAGCATAGCCGAGCAGCGATGCTCCCCCGTTAGTTTCGCAATACCATTCCATAAATCTTCCATTACAGAGATTCGTATTATGCCGCGTATGAAAAATTTAGTTACCGGGAGAGAGTGAGAGAGAGAGAGAGAAAGTAAAATGGTATATAGACTGTTCGAATAAGTATGTTTATATGTAAGTAAGAATCGTGAGTTCACCGAGCTAGATCTAATGAAAAAGATCAATATTATAAATTCTGCTGTATTCTACTCGTGTGTATGGAGCGAGCGAGGTGCAGGATGCGCGCTGATATGCCAAGAGAAGGGATCCTGCGCCATATATAAGTCGTTACCTAAAAATCGAAATTAAGCACGAGAGCGGGACCACACACGAGAGTAATAAAGGATAGTCAGGTACTCGTGAAAGTATAGTTGCCAAAACAATTATGAGTACCCTAACGATATACAATGTACATCGCGGCATTTTCCTTCAACCATACACAAAATGCAAACGCTTGAACAATCATCATTTCCACCTTGTCGTATCATGAATTATTTGCGGAAAACTAAGCAAATCTTATTTACAATGCTCGCCAAAGCTACGATCGCGATTACAGGAGCTTAGCAATACAGCAGTGGTAGCAGCTAGTTTATATACCCAGCGTACACATGTGGATGTAGGAGAGCAGCTTCAGCAGCAGATTGAGAAACGCATCGCGGCGAAATAAGAAAAATCGAGCGAGCGATCCTGCCTTAAGTGCGCCGAGCTCGCAGCTTCATGAGAGATGATCGCCCGGTGGGTTTCGTACTGTCTCACGAAGCCGATACTACAGGAAAAATCAAGCTTAACGAATGAGAAGGAAGAAGAAGAAGCAGCTATATACGCTCACGCGAGGAGCTGATGCTGCTGCTTATGCTGCTGCAGCTTCGGAGCAGCTCATGCTCATGAGAGGGAGTGAACGTGTATATGCCCCTCTCTCTTTCTCTTTCTTTCACTGGCGGCGAGGTCGCGACCCGTAGCCTCCAGGTAGCATCGCCGCACGGCAGACACTGTTTCATATACGTGATGTACATCTTATAAACATTTCGAGGCGCGCACTGCAGTGAAAGGCCCGAGCGAGCTCGATCGGAGCTCATGCGATATACTGCGCCGCGCGAGCGCTAGCAACGCCGCAAACTTCTGCCCTCTCGCGGTCGCCCCGATATTATTATTAATTGCATTTCGTGTGTATGCACACACGTATACGCGGACTACACGTATACGTATATAGGCAAGCGCACTATCGATTTACGTTAAAGGAGAAGAAGATCGTTTATATGATTGACTTATTAATCGGTACCGCTCGAGCTGAGATCGATCGCAGTGAATTATTTTTCTATCGCCATTTGTCTATTGATGCGCACCGAGCATGAATCGAGCCTGTATATAATTGCAGTCGGTGCAGCACGTTTTAAAGGCACTTTAGCCGCTGGCGCGTTTGATAAATAATTGTCGATAAATAACTTGGCGAGCGCGCTCGTATTTGTCGCGTGCTCCGGCTTTTGTGCCCGCGCCAAGCCTGTACACAATCGTCAAGCTCTACCGCGTAACTGCAGTTTCTTACTGTAAGCAACCTCAGGATTCGTAATAAAATAGAACTTTGCACCGAACATGCGCCGCGGAACTAACTGTTCTGATCTACCACATTTTAAACGATACCAAAAAACGATGTTTAGATATTATGGACTATTAACGAGACTCATAATATACTTAATTTCAAGCACCATTTCATCACAAGTTTCCGAGGTTTACAATAAAAGTTGACTAACGACCATGCTCTAAACTCCTGGTTCGAATCACAAAACATCCAGAAGACGAGCAAAAGTCAAGCCGGCTAGTCGCCAAATGCAAGCTGGCTGGAATGAAAAAATTGATGCGAAATGCACGCGATAGTATCAAGGAT